TCTACGGTAGTCATTTTACCGTAATTCATATTAAGTTTTACGGTAATTAAAATACCATAATAACTTGAAATAGTATTACGATAATTAGAATACCGTAATAACTTGAAGTAGTATTATGGTACTTTAAGTATCATAATAGTTAACATTTTCTTTACGACATTCTTTATACCATAATTAGAGTAATGGACGTACAAAATTTAATGTCAAAATAGTTTATAAAAATAAAAATAAAAAATAAAATAATTTAAAGACATGACTTTGTGATTGACGCATTTTTAACCCTCCATTCAAAATGAACGATTGAATGAGCGGAAGCATATAAGTTTTATGATATAGAAGAAGCATAGAAAGCTTGCCCGTCATAGTATTCATTTTTAGTGTGGCGCTTCCCCGTCATTAAACAAAGAAACGTTGTAGTACTCGAAGAGGAGGTTTTAAAAAACTAAGTCTTCCAAAACCCAAACATATGTTTATTATAGCAAAGCTATAATATTTTATACTCCTGTAGGAGCACATTGTTCATTTACCCCTAGATTTTGCGGGTCTTAACCTCTTCAAGTTATTGACTATCCTCAAAAGAAAAAGTCTCCAAATCGCAATCTCTATGAACTTCTAAAAAATTTTGATGTCTCAAGATTTTAACAGAAATTAGACAATTTTATGAGGGTGAGATCTAAGTGTCAAAAAACTTAAAATTCAATTTTTTTTCTTTCGAAAATAACCATTTCGTGATTATGAGATAGTTCCCAAAATTTCAGATTGAAATATCTTCCTAAAAAGGGGTTCTACCTAAGGGATTAGGTATACAATATGCTCCTTCAAAAACATAGTACTTGCAAGTGAGGTGTTATGCAAATAACAGCTCACCTTTCTATCATTCCATAGCCCTCTCTATCTTGCACAACATGAAGGGTTTACCTTCACATAATCTGCATGAAACCCTTCACATAATCTCCATGTTTCATTAAAAACCACAAATTTTTAAGTCAACAAACAAAATAATAGTAAAGAAAATTCATCACAGTTTTTCATGTGAATCTTTTGTTCATGCACTATACATGAAGAGCTACAGATGGTATGCTTTATGCAATTCAGAGCCCAACCTTTGAGAACCATGGGGGCGGCAGCAATGAATTGACACTCACGGTTCAAATATGAAAATGGGATCACATGGAAAGAGCCAAGAATTCCAGTCTCATTTACATCTAAGGCAGCGGTAGATAGACTCCAAGTCGAATTGAAATCGTCCCGTTTGATCCCGAACCTATGGTGGGTGATCTGGTTCTATGGACCCATAATTGCCTAATTCCCATTGACTTCTAAATTTTTATTAAATTTTCTCAATTCCCATTGCCGATTTGACTGATTTGGACCGACACAATTTTGTTGGTTGGATAGTCTCTAAAGGATAAAAGGAATGTTCAAAAGGACATGGATAAAAATAGTGTGAAAGATATAATAATTTTTGGTCTTACTGAGAGCATGAACTTTGAAAGAGAAAAATGATGGAACAAAATTCATGCAACCGACTTCAAATAGTTGACATAATGCTTAGATGATTATGTTGATGATGATGGCAATTTTGCATAGTTCAATTGGCCAATCTGGTATTTTAAAACTCTGGAATGAACCATTCAAACATGACCATCATAATGGATTCGTAAGCAAGGTAATTTGATTACCTTAATTTTTTCTTGTTTATTGTTTGTTTTTCCAAGTTGTCAATTAGGGATTCCTAGAAAACACCTAGGTTAGGCATGCAGGTTCAAATTAAAAAAGAGGTTAGTTGGGCAGTCCTTCAATGGGAGGACCAATAGAATATCATGGTAATGCATTGTCAAATGATGTGATAATTCCAGTTAATCTTTTTTTTTTTTTGTATCAAGGGAGAATTTTTTGCAAGTTGTCCTGAACTTCACCTATTAATTTTCAGCTAAAAACTCGGTTAACAAATCAAATAGTCAAATCAAAGCCAATTAGAGGAAAGTCAATTTAAACTTATCTTTAACAAAAGAAGGAAAACAAAGTGAAAAAAGATACTTCAATCTAGTAATGCCACCTGGGGTACACACCATTCACCAAATCACCGACACTACTAAATGACCGGATGTTAGCTGACTTGAATAATCCCCTTTTCTTATTTTAGAAGAGTTAGGAGTGACCAGGATGGTGGTAGGGGTGGCAATGAACCTCGACCCGGCCTAGGTCTGGGTTCATATCTTGGATCTAAACATTATTTGGGTCCAAGTCTGGGTCCATGTGGACCCAACCCGAGCCCGACCTGAATAATATTGATATTTTTATAATATTTAATATATATTATTTAAATAATATAATAACTATAATATTTAAATAATGCATATATTTAATAAATTTATGAAATATATTTAAATTTATAGATATTTTAATTTTTGAGTCAGGTCCAATCGGTTTCGATCAGGTATGGGTCTGAGACTGCGTTCAGGCCCAGGTCCGAGTCCAACATTATATTTTTGGGCTTGAGATTGGGTCTGGTCTAGGTCCGGCCAGACATGAACCCAGCCTGATGCGTTGTGACCCCTAGACAGTGGTGCGTGTCACAAAATGATGCCTTGAGTTCAAGATGGATAGGACCCTTTTGATCTACCCAAAAAAATAAATTTTAAATATGAAACCCTAAAGCCAAAACTATTTCGTTATTGTAACTTCAGAGGAGTTATATGATTCTTGCTCTCAAGTGAATTTCCCATGTTAGAGGTGTGTTCGAAAATAGCTTACCAAACAAAAAGAATATACTAAATGATGCAGGGAAGCTGGAAAATAAATAAATAAATAAATAATAAAAGGCTAGATAGAATACTTACCCCTTCAGGTTTTACAAGAAACTCTACCCAAATATCTCTTCTGCACAAGATCAAGAAATAATTTATTTAAGTGCTGTAGAAAAAATTCATGTTTCAAAATCCATCGAAGAATGTTGTCCTCTATCCTCTAATTAATAATCTCGACCTCAAGATATACTGATGTGAAAAAAAAAAGATTTTAAAATATCAAAAAATATATATGTTGTAATACATTATCTAGGTAGTCCATTCTCAAGACTTTCATGTATTTGTAGATTGCTTGATCTGATCATTTTTTTAGTTTTAAATTTCATAATTAGATGTGATGTAGTTTTCAAGTCACCATTAAAATTTTCGGCACCAAGTTATATCTTTCGATGAGCTTTGGAGGTGTACCTTAATTAGATTGTTTAAAGTTGACACCTTATACAAACCATACCTATTTTTTATTTGCGTCATTAAATGATTCAACATGAAGCTTTTAGCATAGCCAATCCTTTTATTGACAATTACAATATTCCACTATTCAAATGCAAAAAATGGAAAAATCTTAGTTTTTTTCTAGTATTAGAACTTAATAGGACTAACAGTTTGACTATCAACTGATACTTTGGTTGGTTTGATCCAAAACAAAAATCACATTTGATCAGAGATCGGTTGAAACTAATAGAACCAACCTTATTTGATAGGTTCTGATTAATTGGACTAGCCAAAATTAAATGCATGTAAATACTAAACAAGGTTGGATAAATATTTTAATATATTTTAAAAATTTTGTTATCTTTATTTCTTTTCAAAGTCTAATCCAATCTAAAGATTGGAATTGGTTTTGAGCAGACCACTTACAGATGCAAATGAGAAAGGAACAAAGAAAAGAAAACCTTATCCTGAATTTAGACAACATTATAGTAGAGGGGGATAGATGAGTGCAAAGAATATCTATGGGTCCTCGCATAAGTTCTGATTGAGTTTCCATGAGTCGGCCGACTCATATATACATATATGCGGTCCCCCACTAAAATTCAATGAAGATAAAAAAAAATTTTAATTTTTTTGTTTATTCATCATCTAGGACATGAAACATAAAATTTTCAATTTAAAATAATTTTTTATCATTTGTTTTTATGCACTGTCCATATCTTATTTATGGACAAATACACTTAAAAAACCTCCGTCTTTAGGATGGAGCGTTCGTACGAAACTATTTTCCTTGACCAAGTTCCTAACAAGTTAAACAATAAGTAGGTTCTCCAAAGAAAAAAACCCTTGTTTCTTTCCTACTTTCCTAAGTGCCCCTAGTTTCACAGGCCCTAGGGCTGGCAACAGGCTCTAGCATAGCCCCATTCTACTCCCTATAGGGACAACCCAGGTCCCGCATGGCCGTGATTGGGCCAAGAGGCCCTGTTACAAGCCCGGGCCCATAATATCCGGGCTATAAATAACAGAAAAAATTACAAAAGGCCCCATAACCTAACTTTTTTTACAATCTACTCCTAAGCATATTTTAATTGTAATTTTTACCCATTAACAAGCTTTTCTAGCAACGGCTTCTTAGTAAAAAAGTTATAGTTTTTAGAACAAAAATACCGTCTCTCCTCATACACCAATTACTAAACTTTTTCCATAACACACAAAAAAGGCGATTTAGGTTCGGCAATATCTCAAAGCTGTCTGGTGCTGCCAAAGAACGATCCAACAATAAGCCCATGTGGTCCGATATTGCCAAAGAGCAGTCCGGCAATAGGCCCATGCAATTCCGCAACAGGCCCATGTGGTCTAACAATAGAGTGCGGTCCAGCAATGTCCGCACTCGGTTCGACACATTGTGAACTCGATCCAGCATTCTTTCTAGTCGTTGCACATCTCACGGGAATGTGATGCCATCGTGTACGAACGAGAGCATTTTTGTCAAAAACCAATAAGTTTTTGATTTGAGGAGTATTTAATTGAAAAGTTTGTTTCGAGATAAAAATTGTGACAAACAAATTGGTCAAGGGGGATGTTGTCTAGATAGCCCAAGTTAGGGGGGGTCTTTGCAATTATCTAAAAAAAAAGAACAAAATCATGGGCAGGCAGGTCGGGCCAACCTGGGCGGCACTGAAGGTGGCGTTCCCCTAGCCCAGCACTGGGGCGGGCTAGGCCGTAGTTGGGAAGAGTCTAGAATAGGAGTGGAGTGCAAGGAAATTAGAAGAAATGTTAAGGGGTAGAGGAATAGGAAAAGTGGCCGAAAGTCCACGGAAAGGGCAAAACCAGGTAACCGACTGTCCACCTCAAATCCACGCATGTGTGACGCCAGGCCCACGGCTTAAACGATTCCCCATTCCACCCTCACAGGCCCTCTTTTCTCTCTTCCTCAGCTCTCTCTCTCTTCCTCCGCTTTCTCTCTCTAGAACTTTCTCTCCCTTCCCTTCCTCCTCTTTTAAGCAATCGACGATACGCAGGTCGGTTCTCGCATCTCCAATCAAGCTATATATATATATATATGAATCATCCTGTAACATTGCTCATCGTTTTCTTCTTTCTCTCTCTAAAAACCCTTTGATTTAATCCTTGCCTCGTTTTTTTGGGTTTTGTTTTATCATCAGGGAGATGTCTGATCCCAAGTATGCCTACCCTTATCCTGCCCAAGGTGTGTTAATTTTTCTCTCTCTAAAGAAAATTAGACTTTCTCTCTCTAGAAATCCCTTTATCTAATGGTGTCTATCCTTTCCATGGAAAGGTTATTACCAGGGGCCTCCTGTAATGGCGCCACCCCAGTACGCAGCACGCCCACCAAGAAGAGCTGGTTTCCTTGAAGGATGGTAAGCCCTACCACTCTCTCTCTACTTTCTCTCTCTAGATTATAAAAAAGAGGTACTTTATCTGACATGGGCTTTAATGGGGTTTATTATTGGAATTGAATTTTGTTTTTTTTTTTTTTTTTTTTTTTTTTCTAGCCTTGCGGCCCTGTGCTGCTGTTGTCTCATAGATGAGTGTTGCTGCGATCCTTCAATCATATTTGTGAGCTGAGCTCTATTTGATTGTTATCAATCAATCAAATGTTGCTGCTTCTTATTTAATTACTAAGTTTAATTTCATATGTGTAAGGTGCTGAGATGTTTGTGGCTGTAATATTATTGTGCTCTCTGTATTATATTCAGGTTGCTTTGTGAATCTAATTTTAGTTTCTCCCTTTCTCTTGTGTTAATAATTAGGGTGTGGTTTGCATAAAGTTAGCAATTTTAAACAATCAAATTAAGGCACACCTTGAAATTTGAGTATGGTTTGTATAAAATTAGCAATCTTAACACCTCCAAATTGTATCTAAGATGTGAACTTGGTGTAGAACTTCTTAGGATCGTTTAAGAATCTATTTCATAACTAATTATAAAACTTTAAATTAAAAATTGGTGAAAATCAAGTAGATCTATAAATATATGAAAATTTTGAAACTACAGTTCACTAATTTGTTGTAAGATGTACTTTTTTTTTTTTTCATATTCATACGTCTAAATGTATTTACAATATGAAAACTAACTATTTTCAATGGATTTTTGAGGTGCACCTTAATTCTTTGTAAATTTTTTACTAATAATAATGATTTTTCATTGCATTATCTAAATAGGAGATGATAATTTGGGAGAAGTTAGATATAGAAACTGGGGATTGTGATTTTGCTTCTTGTGAATCCATGCCTTTTATAGGGTAGGTAGGAGCGAAAAAAAAAAAATTAGTCTTTTTTATTTTTATTTATGGCGATGGTGGGAGTGGGAGTGGGAGTGGTAGTGGGTAAGATTATTCGGTAGAAGTCAAAGAGGTTTAAACAGGGTCGGTGGGTCTTATTTGGGACCGTTCCAATTGGCACATGTGAACTGTAACTGGCATGGGCAATGATTTAAAAAGCGGATCGATTGTTCGGATCGGGCACTTTCAAAATCGATTCGGATCGACGAATCGGTGATTCGGATAAGAAATCGATTGAATCGGTCAGATTAGAGCTTCAAAAAAATCCGAAAAAATTATTAAAATTCATTATAAATATTGTTTTTTAGAAAATCAATAAGAAATGAGTGTACTCTATTAAGAATGTTCATTTCTTTGTATGAATATGCGAATATTAATATGTTTTTTTCCTGCATGAACTACTATTTACCATTTAATTTACATCACACAAAGGATAAACATAGAATTATCATGGAATAAGTTCTATCAACATGCAATTTTTTCAACAAAAACTTTAACAATAAAAATTTAAAATATAGTTTAATACCTCATGATATTCAAAACCTGATCACTATTTTCACATCTTTTTGGAAAATCACGATTTTAAAAAAAATCGATCATGTACTAAAAAAACAGACAAATAAAAACAATTATTCACAGAGCCACCTAACATTAGTCATTCCAACTAAAAAATACATTAATAACAAATTAAAAAAATATAATTTTGTATTAAAAATATAATAACATGCATTTTTTTGCATAAATAATCTATCAACATACAATTTTTTCAACAAAAACTTTAACAATAAAAATTTAAAATATGGTTTAATACCTCATGATAATCAAAACCTGGTCACTATTTTCAAATCTTTTTGAAAAATCACGATTTTTCAAAAAAAATCGATCATGTATTAAAAAAAAACAAATAAAACAATTCTTCACAGAGCCACTTAACATCAGCCATTCCAACTAAAAAATGCATTAACAACAAATTAAAAGAATACAGTTTTGCATCAAAAATATAATAACATGTATTTTTTTGCATAAATAATCTATCAACATGCAATTCTTTCAACAAAAACCTTAACAATAAAAGTTAAAAATGTGGTTTAATACCTCATGATAATCAAAACCTGGTCACAATTTTCATATCTCTTAGGAAAATCATCATTTTTCAAAAAATTGGATCATGGATAAAAATAAATAAATAAAAAGTACAGCAAACTCAAACAATAAAAATTAAAAATATGGTTTAATGCCTCATGATAATCAAAACCTTGTCATGATTTTTACATCTTTTCGGAAAATCACAAATTTTAAAAAATTCGATCATGGATTACAAAAAAAAAAAATCTGTTCTTCATAGAGCCACCTTACATCAGCCATTTCAACTCAAAAATCCACATCCAAACGAATAAATTACATCCAATTGAGTACATGTTTTGATAAACAACAATATAAGGAATCAAAACCCTAAATTATGAGCACATTATCAACAATAAATCAAATCAAATCGATTAAATTGAGCAAAAAAAAAAAACACAGTTCTTCATAGACGATAGTTATTGAATCTAAAAAATGAAGCTCAAATTGAATAAATCAGATCAAATTGAATACATCTGATTATAAAAGGGACTATAACAATTAAAAATCTTAGAAATCTAACACATTATTTGTAATATATCGTGAACAATAGATCGAAAGGCGGAAAAAAAAAAAAACAGCATAGATTTTTTTTCACAGACATCACTGTGTTCTTCTAAAAAATCAGACTGTAATTGAGTAAATTAAATAAAATTGAATATGCTAAATGATAAAAGACATGATAAAGATTTAAAACCCTTCAAATTTAACTGATTATTTTCAAAATATGGACTGAAATTGATCAAATGGTGGGGAAAAAAAAAAACAGAGTTCTTACCTAGTTTCTTGAACCCATGGCTTCAATCTCCAAATTACTCTGCTTTTCTCAAAGATTATCACAAATTCGTAACAGAATTTTTTTATGAACACATTTACGATCATTAGGCCTCAAAATTTTCACAGATTCATGCCCTAAAAGCAAAAGCAGAAACCCTAAAATCCTCAACTTTCATGATCCAAAAACATGAAATTTCTCTACCATTTAATCCATGAAAAGGCTGAAAAAAGCTGCATAAAGCCTGAATATTCGATCACATGGTAAAAAAAAGAAGAAAAATAATAAAAAAATAACAAAATTTGAAGAAACCCGTAAAGAACATTGTGCAGCCCGTGTTCTTCACGGGACTCGTCGATTCCGTACAGTGAATAGACAATTCACTATACAGAATCGTCTGGTTCTCTCTGGAACCGAGCGATTCAGTGTATTATGCCGGAACAAGCACGTCCTATGCTGATTCCCGAGTCGAATCGGGCGAGCGGCGCTTTTTAAAACCCTGGGCATGGGTATTTAAGCCTAAATTTACTTATAGCCAATTTGTCAATAAAGTTGAACAAACATTGCTCTCTTCAATGGCAAACATAGCCCTTGGAAAACCACATTATTTTTCTACTCTCCCTCTTTTTTTTTTTTCTCTTTTTCTTTTTTTTTTTATTAATTTTTTTTTTTTTAAGGTTTATGTTAACCTTTTGTTGAAAACATGAAGAGAAAATACAAGACAAGTGAAGTGGAAAAGAAAAGAGAGGAAACAAACAAAGAATGAGAAAAGAGAGCTACAAATGGGAGAGAGAAGAGGGGGATAAAAAAAAGAGATTGAGTAAGGAATAAGAGGTGGATTGGGTCTTTGTTCGTGCATCAGCTTCTGAGTCTCTCTCGGTCTTCTGAGTCTCTCTCGGTTAACATATTGATACACCACTTGTTTCCCATTCAAATGCATAGGAATCTGATTCATCAATGGCATATGATCCTTACACCATTAACTGAATCACCTTCCACTGTGATGCATTTCTGATATGCACCTTCCACTGTGATGCATTTCTGATATGTTATGAGCCTCAATACCTCTTTCTTCAATGCATAGAGTTCATCCTCATTAATATCACACATTTGCAGAGATTCTCTGATTATCCCTCAACAAATGTTTAAAAAAAAGGTTATCCCTCAACAAACCTTTATATCCTGCCCTTTGAGCCCCACCCCTCACACTTCATCAAATTTAAGCTTATACCATCCCTCCTCAGGGGGGCACCAGTTTGAGCTCTTTAGTACTTCGGGGTTTAGAACTTTAAATCGCTTCATTAAATAACAGAAATTATTGTAGAAGAACTCCATTGGAGTGTCTCTCAATTCGAGTAAGGCTTTTGCCCATTGGACAATGTGGACAAAGGTCAATGTTGCACCTCCGTTGCTTTATCCTAAAAAATTCTGGCATTTCGGTCTTTCATAAAGGGTGCAGTTGGCACCCATAGCGGTAGACTTGAAATTTTATCATGGTATATAATTTTGATGTAAAATATTTTTAAGATTATTTCAAAATCTATTTTTATATCTAATTCTAAAATTTTAAATTTAAAAATAGTTAAAATCAAGTAGATCTATAAACACATGGAAATCTTGAAAATGGATGATGTAGATAATATGTTGTAAAATACATTATTTCTGAGGCTTAAAATCTGTTTATTTTTCATAGTCATATATCTCGATGTTGAGATGATCAATCAAAGGGTTTTTCAACATTAAAACTACCTTTTCTGATAGATTTTTGAGGTGCATCCATAGTTCTACATTATAAGGTTGCATCCTTATATAAACTTTTTTCTTATATAAATTCCAACATATCGCTACCACTGTTATTCTCCATAGATGCTTACCCACCTTTTGAATATGGTGGATTAAGACTATGATGGAAGAAGCCCTGAATCCTTGTGCGTTATCCAGTGCCAAGAAAATATACTCTAGCTTTGTTCCCATATGGCTGATACATTTGGACAACAAAGGAATAGATGGGAATTTGTTTCAACATCCTGATCGCATAATATGCATGAATTTGTTACTATGACTCCCTTATTCCTCAAAATTTTTGATAGGGAGTGTTCGATCTTGTTCCAAAAGCCATAGAAAGGCCTTCTGTGTATAAGGATTTAACTGTGAAAATAACTTTGGGGAGAAGCTCCCATGTTATTTGGTCCTCTCGTTTGGAATGGTAAAAGAAGGAATGAAGAGCTTCTATTACTGATAAGAATTGATTTTCTATAACTCCATCTACTCTTCCATAGAGTTGTTTTTCCTTCTCCATTCACCATGTCGCAGGTGGATGAGTTCTTGTTTACAGCTCTACTATAGAGATCTTAGTACTTAAGCTTTAAAGATGAGGTTCCTAGTATTTAATGTACACCAAAAAAGGAAAAACAAAAAAAACAAAAAAGCGTTTGTGCAATTCGTGTCCTTTCATATATCCAAAAGACACACATATTAACTTTCAAATTTTCGATTTGAGAGTCTAACTTTTTAACCACCCAAACACAAAGCTTAAATGTTGGGGCTTTCAAAA